TAGATAGATAGATGTAGATATAGATATATATATATATAGATATATAATCCATCTTTTTATTTCTAGGTACATTTCATTTTACTCAAAAAGATTTCACTTTGTAAATGTACTGAGAATTTGTGGTCTGTCATATGCACTCAACTAGAGAAAATGCTATCTGCTTGAGAATTACATGAATTCTTCAGCTGTTGGAATGTCCTACAGTTATCTAATAAGTCCATATGTGTAATATTCAATTTAGTTCTGCCCACTCTTTCTTGACTTTCTGTATGCAACAAATGTCCATTGCAAAAAAATGAGGTGCCAAGTTCCCCTACTAGCATTGTACTGGTGCCACTGTCTCCCTAATTTCTTCTGGAAACATAAATGTCACATTCACCCACATGATTATTAAAATCATTCAGTCATGCACACAAAGTTTCATCCATATCCCTCAATACTGATCAGTTTAATCAAAAGTGTTAATTCAACCTAGATGTGGTAGCACAGGTCTGTAATCCCAGCATGTTGTGAGGCTCAGGCAAGAAGATTACAAGTTCAAGTCTAGTCTAGGCAGTTAGTTTAGCAACTTAGCAAGATATTATCTCAAAATACAAAATTAAAAAAGCTCAGTACAAACAGGATATGGGTTGAATCCCCAGTACTACAACAACAACAGAAGGTATATGAATTCAATTACTATTTATTCCATGAATTAACTCCTAATCAACATTTCCATTGTGTGTGTGTGTGTGTGTGTGTGTGTGTGTGTGTGTGCGCATGTATGTGAAGAGAAAAATCTTAGCTGACTTTTAAGAGAAAAATAGATCTGTAGAACTTCATTTATATGTGTCTTTTAAAATTATGCCATTAACATGCACACACTCAATTTTAGTACCTTTTAAATAGCTATATAAGATAAATCTCTGAGGACACTGCCGGGGAGGTGAAAGAAAAGGCAGGAAGCTATAATCAAAATTTAGATATATATTAGATTTCCAAAATCATGCACTATGTGTTTTTATTTTCACTGATAATCAAATCATGTTTAGTAAGAAAGATGATTTTAAAGGGAGAATTATAGAAAAATATTTTAAAATCAGAATCTACTAAATATATATCATTGATTTATTCATGCAAAAACTTCCTTGAGTCTGCTAGAACTGTGGTAGACTCCAGCATGATAAGCTATTAAGTATGACTAATCTACTTAGTTAATTTGAGTGGTAAACTTTGGTGTCATACCTTTAATTATACTAACATAGAAAATGAGTAAATGTATAATTCATTATATTTATATAGAAAATAATTTAATTGAAAATGTGATTGCAATAATAGAAATGTATCTTCAAATAAGATTTTTCTTTTGAACTATTTCAATATTTTTAAGTTTTCATTTTTACTAGTACATATTTGCATTGCAAACTTCCATGGGGAGTTGGTAAATGTACCTAATATATCTTAATTTCTTTTTAATACCCTTTCACTTCTCTCCTTCCCCCCTCCATCTCTTGATCTCCTTCTCATTTTAATAAAATCTATCTTCTTACTTCCTATCATCTATCTCTCATTTTATTCTTTATGCTATCTTTTAGGTTTCTGATAAAAGAAAAACAAAGCAGTATTTATGCTTGTGTGTCTGGTTCATTTCATTTAATATTATAGTCTCAATGTGCACCCTTTTTTTGCAAATGACTCAAGTTTAATCTTTTCTTTGTGCAGAGTATATGCTCCAATGTGTATAAACACAACATTTTTTATCTATTCATCTGTTAATGAACATATAGGCCACATCCAAGATTGAGCTAATACAAATTGTGCTGCTAGAAACATGAGTATGCATTTTAACATATTTTTCTTTTAAATATATTCAAATATATGTTTAGGTCTACTTAGATTAATCAACCCAGGAGATAAGTTTTGTTGATTTTACTATTTGCCATGCTAATATATTGAGATTTTTTTAGAGAAATTATAAATCATTTTTACTTCCATAAATCCAAACAATGTTATAGCATCCCCAAGGTAGGCAGCACATCTCTCTCTTATAGATTAATAAACTAAACCTCAAAGGAGTTATGCAAAGTTTATAACCACAAGAAGTCAAAGACTTCATAAATAAACTCAAATTTTCAGGCACTAAATCTTAGAAGCAAAATGTGATTCCCAACTATCCAAGGTTTTCATGTCCTAGCATGATTTTTTGAATCTTTTGTCACATGGCCTACAACATACTATAATAAGGCTCAAATAATGTTTTATTCAGAAATTTGCTGCAAAGACTCTGTCAGGTGTCTCTGTGGACTAGAGAGATCACAGGCTATTAGCCTAGCATTAGTTACAGCTACCATGGTGAGACAACATGGACAGAGATTTATGGTGTGCAGCTGAAGTATGTAAACATGTTTTTACCAAGTGTGGTAGCACTGGTAGCAATCCTGTACAGTAAGTACCTCACTCTATACTGATACCTTAGAAAGTCAGTCAGTCTGCTTGAGACTATTTTTTGTTCCACATAAAACAGGAATACGATTGCATTGTCTTGGCAGTATCATCATAATGGTACTATTTCTTAGACTTTATACTCTAAAGCAAATATACGCAAAAGTTTTACTTTGTGTTGTAATTCTCTTGACATCAGCTTCTCTTTTTTACTAATTGCTGAAACAAAAATTCATTTCAATTAAATCCCTCTCTTAAAACAAAGGTCTTTTTGAGAAATCCCTCTTTTCAAGGCATTTATTAAGTTTTTACTGTCACTTGTCATAGAGGTGACAAGCTCTATTCCCTCATGAGTATCAGCTGATTGGTAATTTTCTTCCTGAGCTTGGTCAAGATGTTTAATTCTGCTTGGAATAGATCCTTTGGCCTTTTTTTTTTTTTTTGTACCAAGAATCAAACCCAGGACCTGGAGCTTGCCAGGCAGGTGCTGTGACGGAGCTGTGTCCCTGGCCCTTGGCCTTTTATTCATTGTCTTCATTCTGGTACAGTTTTCTTGCATGGTCACTAGCATCTTGCATTATATGTTGTTTGGTGCCAAGTTTTACTATATTGTTCACATGTTGGGCAGACAGTGTTATAAATTGCCACGGATCTACTTTCAGCTCCACTTGGGCAAACCTGCAATCTTTCAGCTATCTCCTGCTAAGCCTGTAGCTCTTCGGATGTAGTAACAGTCTCCACATTGGGACACCAAGGACATTCCATCCCTTTCTTTTGGCAGAGACCCTGTAGACTAATAAGGTTTTACTTAAATGCATCTACACAGTACTTTTTGTAGCTATTACTACTCTATTATAAAGGTTCATATTAGTTTTAGGACAAAACAGACGGTCAGCCATTTTTGGAAAACTTGAAACCTTTTAAATCACCGAAATTTACCACCTAACCCCACAAATATATCGGTATATTTTTATCATTTACTTTTTAGTGGGTTATTCTTTCTTACTTTATGAAAAAATAAAATAATTTGTCAAAACCAAATAATAAGGAAAAACAGTAATTATTGCACTGTGTAGATTTCTTAAATGTAATTAGCTGGTACATGACATAAATTGAAATGATTCTTAATAATAGCACAAATTTTCTTTTAAGGGAACTAAGATATACTATTAGCTTGGTATAAACACCTTCCACTTGAAAATTTGCAAAAGCTATGAGTCTAATTGTGTGTCATTACATTTCTTCTTCCCTTTGGCCTTTGTCTTAAAACTACTGCATAGCAAAAACAACTTTTGCATTATATTTGTACCCTTTCTAATTTACAGTTTATGCACTGAACTTTAGTTCATAATCTTGCTCTTATTATTATATAACTGAATTTAAGGAACTGCAAATCTCTCTCTCTGTCTCTCTCTCTCTTTTTCTCTCTCTCTTACTCTCTCTGGAATTTCAAGCCTTTACTAAGGTAAAAAAATTATACATGAGAAC